CCAGATATTGTTGGGCTACAGTTCTCATCATCAGCTGGCAGGCTGATCACAGAATCATGGAATTGTAGACCCTGGGGTTCATCCAGTCCTGCAATGCAGGAATACGCAGCTATCCCATAAAGAGATCAAACCTACGACCTTGGGGCTAGGAGAACCATGCTCTAACCAACTGAGCTAGATGGTTAGATGGTCTACTAGATGGATGCTGGAGTCCAGTAACAGGGCGCCATGTTGGCTGGAGTAGACACTGCTAGTTGGGGAGGACAAGTGATCTGCCCAGTGTAAGACAGTGTTGCATGTTCCTACCAGATTTCAGAACTTGTTGTATCAATGGGTGGCTACTCCCATTGAGTAGAAACAAGGAATTAAGGAGCTTAAGAACTGCTTACATCTAACCCAGTTGGGGCAACACAAGACATCTTGTGTTGTCTTGTTTGCTTGTCGGCAAAAGGCAAGGTGCCCCTCACACAAACAACACACATATGGAAGCCTGCAGAACTGGCAGCTGAATCGTTGTTTCAACACTGGGGATAGGACACTGGATTTGAGACTGGAAGACTAGCCATGCGGGGGACACATAGCAGTGTCTTCTAATACCTCACCACCATTCCCCAGCCTCTCAACCTCTGCCGCCTGAGGCAGCCACCTCATTCTGCCCAATGGTAGGGCCGGCCCTCTACCATGAATAATGGCCAGCTGGCTTACTTGGAGAAGCTCACTTGCAGAACCTGATGGTAATTCCTGGTCGCTGGTCCACAGCACATAGTGGACAAAGCCATATTTATTTTGAATTTGGTGGCTACTTTTCTTTTCCGCTGTCACAGAGTTGGCAGAGATCTCAAAGGGCATCTAGCCTGAGCCTCTGTCAAAGTAGGAAATCACCTGCTTTGTCTCCCTTGTTAAAACCTTTAACAAAGAAGAGTCCACCAGCTTCATGGCTTATCTCTTTGGCTTACCTCTGTCCTCTATAAATTCCATTGTGTACCACCCACCTTGGTACCCTTGCTGAGTATTGCACAAAAAGCATGCAACTTTCTACCACAGCAATTCCTACTGGGTCCTATTTTGAGAGCCAGTGTGGTGTTTTGTTTAAGAGCGGCAGTCTCATAATCTGGGGAACTGGGTTCGCTTCCCTGCTCCTCCACATGCAGCTGCTGGGTGACCTTGGGCTAGTCACACTTCTCTGAAGTCTCTCAGCCCCACTCACCTCACAGAGTGTTTGTTGTGGGGGAGAAAGGGAAAGGAGAATGTTAGCCGCTTTGAGACTCCTTTGGGTAGTGATAAAGCGGGATATCAAATCCAAACTCTTCTTCTTCTTTCCATGCGTACGAAAGTTGTTGTACTTGAAATCCTCAAGTTCTTTGGTCATACATTACGTTGTTCTGCCTAGCACTCAGCCATGCAGTATGCTACATTCAGCTGAGACGGAGAGGACTAGGTCTGGGATGGAACAGATTTACGAACACAAGCAAAACTGAAATTGAGCAGAAACAGATGAGCCTGCCTGTCCCTGAACTGAGCTGTGCCCCTCATCCACCTCCAAGATGGTTCAGAGATCACCAGTGGTGGTCCGATTCCTGAGCTAGTGAAAGGAAAGCCCATTCTGTATTCTAGCAGGAACAGAAATCTCATGCACTGTTCTCAAGGTACCTGAAGGCACTTGAGGAACACAGCTTGCACCTGTCTGCCCACTGTGCTGCTGTATGTTGTCTGCCTTGGTAGCACATAGCAGGCAATACTCCATACAGAATCCACACACAAAAGTTTGGTTTCTTTTATTGCATCGAAAGCAAGCTACCCAGGGGCAGCATATAACTATAAACTCTATGATCACTGGTGTTTCAAACAACCCTGGGGTTAAGGATTAGGTTTTTTTATTTTAAAAAAATCAACAGCAGGTTAAATAACTGCATTTCTATAAAATATATATTTTTAAGAGTAAACACCGCAAGCATATGATGTGGCTGTCTGGGTTTAGCGTAGCAAGGGTGCCCTCTTGTGGCTTACATAAGAGATTTCTCAGTCAAGTTACAGCATCACTGGCTGTATCTATTTGACTTGGGCAGTTCATTATAATTTCAGCTGTGTTTTTAAAGTAATCAGAGAAAAGGCCTAAATGATATTAATCCCTGCCTTAGAGTCAAATTAAGTCATCCCTGACTTATGGGAGGGAAGGCAGCTAAGCAGATTGTGCATACATAATTTATAGTGATAAAAGATATTAAATATTTCCAATTTGGGTCATAATCTCATTAGATCTCATCCAGAAGAATGCACAGCAACACTATTCCTTTTCTTAATTTTTCAGTAATAATAATAATAATAATAATAATAATTCCTCCTTTCTTGCTCTTCCCTCTCAGACAAATCCTTTCAAAGTCACTTGCCTTTGCCAGAAAGCCACTAATTTGAGAATTCTCTTTTGTGTACAGATGAATCACCCATGCAAATTAAGCTGTGTCATTAATCATATTAATGTGCCAATGTCACGGATGCCTCCAATTCATCCTCTTTTCTGCGACACCAAAGCCTGTGGCATCACAGCATTCCGGCCACACATCTGCCTACACACACACACACACACACACACAGCCGTTCTCTGTTCTGACCAAGCCCCAGAGCTCATTGTCTTCAATGTGCCGCGCCAAAATAAATACAATTATTGGGAACAGATTCCCTCTCTTCCTCAGAGTCACTGGCCTCTGTTATCCTCAGCGGAAGCACACTCAAATTCAGAGAGCATTAAACAGCCATTTGGGCTCAAGTCCACAGGGCATATTTCCTTCCAGCACGTCACGTTTTGGCCTCCATCAGAAAAAACAGGGACAGGCGATGCCAGAAAGGAATCTGCGATCCCAAAGCAGCAACTAGATGGCTCCTGTGCAATGGCTGCTAACTTGCGCAACTTGTAAATAAGGTCTATGGCATCCTGGCCCCAAGGTTGTCCCCACGCTGGTTGCATCTATTTAGGATTCTGGATACACAGAAAACAAATGGAAGGTGTGTGTTTGTCTCTCCCTACTGCCTCCTCTCTTGTCAAAAGGTCGCAAACATTAGGGGGGCAGTCAGTCGGCATGCTCACCCACCCACATGGGAGCCATTTTACCTATGTTGCAGTCGCAAGTGGATGCAGAACATGTGTGCAGAACAAGACGGGACTAACTGCATGGGTTTTTGGCACCCACCAAAGTGCTGGTTGAGTGGGGAAGAGTCATGGCATCAGCCTTGCTCACAACTCCTTTCAGATGTGCCCCTCCCTCCGCTCATTGGACTGGGAAGTGGAGACACATCTACTGGTCCCATACACAATAGCAACATGCCAGCTGGCTCTGCCCCCTGCTGAAGTCGGCCATTCAGTGCTGACAATATCTGAACAGTCCTATCTGAGTTTCAATGACAGAAAAAAAGGCAGCATCTCTGAGGTAGATGTCCGGAACCCATGTAATAAGCAACTGCACACACAGATGCTCTGATGGAGTTGGTTGGGATAAGTCGATGAGGCATCCTAAGCGCAACACTTGTGGAAAGCACATCAAATAAGCAAAGTGAATGGAAGAGAAAAAGCGAAAGATGTTGGCATAGTGCAATAACGCGTGAGTGTCAGCTGGGAAGTAGCCCAGGAAAATGAGCAGATTTATTTCCCCACTATAAACATCCTTGAGGTTGCTTCAAAACAGTACTAGACTGATGCCGCAAGAGGGCCTGTAGATAAAACAGGGATCCCAGGACAGATGCAAAAACCAGTTGAAGGTCAAGAATAGACAAGATGATGCCACACGATGCATTTTGGTTCGGGAAACGTGATCAATATGGATTTCGTAATAATTGCCCATTTGCCAAGCAACACCTTAAATCCGCACCAGTTAAAAAGTGTAAATTTCCTTAGGAAAACATTATGTTCTTTACACATTCCGTAGGCACTCAGCAAAGGGGTGGGGCACAAAATATATCCAGTGCTACTGATGGGGACTAATAGCAGCTTCAGGGAGGCAAACTTTGTTGAGACTGTGGTTGGAGAGGGAAGGGCTAAGCTTCTACAAACCCCACCCCAAGGGGGGAAAGCACATTTTTAAAATTGATTTTTAAAATAAATTTAATTTAATTAATTATTTTATTTTATTTTATTTAAATATTTGCATGCACACATCTTATCCTGAGATAAGGTCGTGGAGATGTTTCAGAAAGAAAAGATATGGCAAGCTCCCTAAAAGAGGCACACTCTTCATCATGGAATCTCACCCAGTGGGAACCCTGTTTATGTTCCAGTCAGTGCTGGACCACTTAAGATTCCCTTTACATGTACCTTTATCAGCATGGCTATTATCGCCTCTGCGAATAATCCTGGACAAGTCTGGGTCTGTGAAAAGGCTCCTTTGAAAACGAGTGCATTGCTACTGAGGAACCGCAAAATTGTAGAACTGTAGAGCTGGAAAGGACCACAAGGGTCATCTACATAGCTGTCAACTTTTCCCTGTTCTTGCAAGGAATCCTATTCGGAATAAGGGAATTTCCCTTTTAAAAAAGGGAAGCGTTGCGAGCTATGGTCATCTATAATAATAATAATAATAATAATTTATTATTTGTACCCAGCCCATCTGGCTGGGTTTCCCCAGTCACTCTGGGCGGCTTCCACAGAGATCAAAAATACACTAAAATGTCACACATTAAAAACTTCCCTGAACAGGGCTGCCTTAAGATGTTTTCTGAATGTCAGATAGTTGTTTATTTCTTTGACATCCGGTGGGAGGGCGTTCCACAGGGCGGGCGTCACTACCGAGAAAGCCCTCTGCCTGGTTCCCTGTAACTTGGCTTCTCGCAGCAAGGGAACCGCCAGAAGGCCCTCAGTGCTGGATCTCAGTGTCCGGGCAGAATGATGGGGGTGGAGACGCTCGTTCAGATATACTGGACTGAGGCAGTTTAGGGCTTTAAAGGTCAACACCAACACTTTGAATTGTGCTCAGAAACGTACTAGTCCAACCCCCTGCAAGGCAGGGGTCTTTTGCCCAACGTGGGGCTCGAACCCACATCCGTGAGATCAGGAGTCTCATGTTCTACCGACTGAACTACACCTGAGTAGCAGAGCATCTGCTTTGCATACAGAGGCCGCAAGTTCAATCCCTAAGCATCTCCAGGCAGGACGGGGGGGGGGGGGGAGAGAACAACCCTAATTAGAAGCACTGGAGAGCAGCTGCAAGCCAATGTAGACAAGCCAGAGGATGAGCAGCAGCTGAAAACACTCCAGTTAGGATACATATTAAGGGCGGGAGGAAGAAAGTAGCAATTTGTCTTTCACAATTACTGCAGGCCTCATGTTTAGGTCCCTTCGCCCTCCACTCTATCCATCCCTTGCCTTCAACAACAGCTCTGCTACCCAAGTCCACAGCCCCTTCAGATCCCTATAGAAGCCCAGCCAGCGGTTTAGGGAAGTGGTACTCATATAAGCAAGATTCATTTTAGCTTCTCTATATAAATTGGCACTGCAGCCCACGGAGAATGATGTAAATTAGGTAATAAAGGAATCTACGTGGCCCAGTTCTGAAGGCCAAAAGGCACTGGGTGAATCTCAAAAGTCAATTCTGCCAAACCGGACAATGTGTTTGAGGCCAGATTAGCAATGGACCAGACAAGGCAACTGCCCAGGGCTTTGTATGTTTTATGGAAATGCCCGCATGCTGAAATGTTAGAACTCATAAGGGCTCTGCACAATGCCTTCCCTGCTGGCAAATATTTAACCAGATATTCCTAAAGCTCAAACACCTCTCTCTAGTTCTGTCCTTCAAAACTCAGCGCTATTTTCCTTCTATTCAGCTTAACTTCAAGCTGCATCCTAGAGTGCCATTCAAAATTTTGTATAGATAGGAGAGCATTTACAAACACTGCACCGGAACTATGCAGTCTGGGTGGACTGTACAGTGGTATCTTGGATTAAGTACTTAATTCGTTCCGGAGGTCCGTTCTTAACCTGAAACTGTATTTAACCTGAAGCACCACTTTAGCTAATGAGGCCTACCACTGCTGCTGCGCCGCCGGAGCACGATTTCTGTCCCCATCCTGAAGCAAAGTTCTTAACCCGAGGTACTATTTCTGGGTTAGCGGAGTCTGTAACCTGAAGCGTATGTAGCCTGAAGCGTATGTAACCCGAGGTACCACTGTATGTGCAATCTATCTGGGCTGGGGATTGTCATCATATTTGAGTTTTCCTGGATGGATTGTTAAAGCGTGGAGGAATGATGAAGGGGTGTGTACATGCAAGTATGTAAGAGAGACACATCAGTTTTAATCAGGCCCTATATGTTTAGTCTTAAACTATTGACAGGAGAGAGATGCACAGATGCACAGATTGGAAAACATCACAGTGCAGTAAAGGAAGGCTCCCCAAACTTTTTGAGTCCAGGGATACACATGGAAATATATGAAGGCACCACAAAATATCCATACGGCAGAAGAAAAATTTCCAATGTTCAGAACCCTCACTCCCAAGCAACAGACAAGACATACACCAAAACAAATGGAATAAGGAGAAAAAAGCAGGCCATCTCAAAAAGCCCCGAACATTGCTTAAAAAGGTGGGGGAGGGAATACGCAGGATGTCTTGGCAGGCACAAGGAGGGTGTATGTGGATGCCATAATGCCCAGAAGATGAGAAGGAAACAAATACCTTGACCCTCTCTCATGATCAGGACTTTTTTTCAGCCAGAACTCACCGGAACTCAGTTATGGGACTTCTCAAGTGGGTGCCATTGCCATTATAAGAGAACAAGGGAGGTGTTCATGGTGAGTTCTGGCTCCTCTTTTTCTTGAAAAATAGCACTGCTTTTGATCCAGATGGAACAGAGTGTTAAAGCTGGGTGTCATCCATATATCGCTGACATCTCACTCCAAATCTCCTGGCGACAGCTCCACCACTCATATCTCAGTTCATACAAATAGCAGGTATGCTCTGAGGTTTCCAGATGGCAGCCCAGAAATCCTCTTTAGTGGGGCAGTGAGAGAAAGACCGTCTGCTTCCCCCGCTTTCCTGCTTCCTCTTCTGCTCCCTTTGCCAACACCCCCTTCCCTTTTGCCATCAGCAACAACTTTCGTGCCACTTTCAATAGAGGCATCAAGGTGATGTACTTAAAGTAGTAATATGCCATTTTAAAACACAGAACTCCAGTAAGTAGTTTTATGTAACTATAGGAAGTGGGGATCAACGAGAATAAGGATGGCAAGCAAAAATAAGTGCATCCTCTCCTCCTGTGAAAACCAGTGCATCTTCTCCCAGTAAAAGGCGAGATCACAGAATTGCAATCAGGCCCTACAGATAGTTAATGGGACTCAAAGCTGCAAACCTCCATTTGTGCTTTGGGGGGGGGGGGGGCTCAAGTGTTGATCCATAGAAGCACATCTATAATTCATCATCCTACAGACAAATGGGAAGTGGACAACTTGAGAAGTCAACACTGATAGCCCCTGTTCATTATTAAGGCTACCGTACCAGAAATCAGCGCCTCACTTGCATATTGTAAGAGAAGGGGTTGTAGTTCATTCAGCTATATATCTATCACAGACTTCAAGAGACAGGAGGACATGTGTGGGAAGTACAGGGGTCTCATCATGGAGTCAAATTGGAGGGATTCCCTGAATCTCAAGTCGTGATACAAACCCAGTGAAGGGCTTGTATGCAGAGAAACTGTCAATCAGAATGGAAACCTTTTCTTCTTTTTAAATACAATTTATTAATTTTATAATGACAAAAAACACACATCACAAACAAAAATTCAGATCATAAATCTCAACTCAATTGACTACCGTCCACTCCCCCCCTCCCCCGGTTTCATTGTTTCATCCATAAAACCTTGTATTCTTAACAATCCCATTTTAAAACCTTATTCATCTTAATACAAGTGACTTTTAAAAGTTCTACTAATATAGAAGTCTGTACACAACACTTGAAAAATATGCATTAAACATTTCCAGAATGGAAACTTTTTCAACCAAAGTGTTCATGTGCTTATTTAATGAATGAAAAGCAGGGAACCCTTGTACTAATTATTTTGACCATAGCTACATTTTAAAGGTAATGCTTGTATTTTTACAGTAGATAGCGACAGTGGTTTCCCCCCCCCTCCAAGAAAAATAGGTGCTGGTACGCAGCATGCAGTGCCGGATTTCCATATAAACTAAACAAGCTATAGCTTAGGGCCCCATTCTCTTGGGGGCCCCAAAAAAAATTAAAGTAAAAAGAACTGGATGTACATTTCCAAAATATAAGATAAACTTCTTAATTGTATTTCAGTTCAACAATTACTTTGATAAAATACGTATTTTGTTTTGTGCAAATGGCTTCAGATACCTAGTAGGTCCATAAATCACCATGTAGCATATATTCAACACACAGAAAACAGCGACCATTTGTTGTTGACAAAGGACAGCTGGACATATAAAGGGCCCCATTACCTTCAGTAGCTTAGGGCCTCGTCAAACCTAAATCTGGCCCTGGCAGCATGCCACCACCATTCCCCGCCGGCCACTTTCCTGCTCACCCGCTCTATTCCTCCCCGCCTCGCACCTTTGCTGCTTCCACTTCCACCACATTCCACGGCTGCAGACACAGCTTCCCAAAGGTGCTTTGGCTCGGCCCTTTTATAATCACCAGGAAGGTGCCTGATGATCATAAAAAGGTTGCACCCAAGCGCCACTGGGAGGCCATGCCTGCAACCAGGGAAAGTGTTGGCAACCAGCAGAGGAAGCGGCAAAGGTGCTGCGAGTGGGCGGGTGAGTGGAGGTGGCGAGATGGTGGCGGTGGGGGGGGAGAAAAGAGGTGGCAGTACAGGATACTGGCGTGTACCACTTCAAAAAGAGCACCGGCTATCTATAGTTCAATTAATTAATTGACAACAGAATGTGCAACTACTTGGTCTACTGTTGCTATTCAAAAGAAAAGCACAATTCAGCCCCCTGGATATTATATTATTTTATTACTTAATCAAAAGCACTTAAAGGTAAAGGTACCCCTGCCCGTACGGGCCAGTCGTGTCCGACTCTAGGGTTGTGCGCTCATCTCACTTAAGAGGCCGGGGCCAGCGCTGTCCGGAGACACTTCCAGGTCACGTGGCCAGTGTGACGAAGCTGCTCTGGCGAGCCAGCACCAGCGCAGCACACGGAACACCGTTTACCTTCCCGCTATAAAGCGGTACCTATTTATCTACTTGCACTTAGGGGTGCTTTCAAACTGCTAGGTGGGCAGGAGCTGGGACCGAAAGAGGGGAGTTCACACCGCCGTGGGGATTCGAACCGCCGACCATGCGATCGGCAAGCCCTAGGTGCTGAGGTTTTACCCACAGCGCCACCCGCATCCCTGCCAAAAGCACTTATATACCTCTTAATGTTTCCAAAATCTCTATACAATGTACAGCCCAAAAAAGCAATATAGTGTGATTAAAAGCTGCACCTAAAGCTAGTAAAACAGCACTCTAAAAACACATAAAAGTTAATAAAACAGAAATTCAGAGAATTCACAGAGGGGCCAGTCTTATGGGTCATGGAAAGCCTGGGTGAAGGGTCTATGTCATATTGTTCCTATGGTAGCCTAACATTGTTATCCATAAATAATGCCCAGTTGCAAAAGTTCAGAGTATAATTTTATTGCTTTCTAAGTTTTTCACCTCGGTGTTTTTCTATTAACACCAGCCTCTTTTTAAGCCACTGCCATCTCAAACCAATATTTTAAATATTTGAGAATTTGGGGGGAGTCTCTTCTAATTCCTGGATTCAACAAGTATCCAACTGCTGGAACAGCCAGACAAATGTAAATACAGTGGTACCTTGGGTTAAGAACTTAATTTGTTCCGGAGGTCCGTTCTTAATCTGAAACTGTTCTTAACCTGAGGTACCACTTTAACTAATGGGGCCTCCCGCTGCCGCCACGCTGCCAGAACATGATTTCTCTTCTCGTCCTGAAGCAAAGTTCTTAACCTGAAGCACTATTTCTGGGTTAGCGTAGTCTGTAACCTGAAGCGTCTGTAACCTGAAGCGTCTGTAACCCGAGGTACCACTGTAAACCATATATCATAAGGACACAACAGTCTCCGCTGTCCCTCATTCTGAGGAAACCAAATCCTGGAACCCCTAGAATCTCACAATGTTTGGAGATCAGGGTGCATTTAGCAGTATTTTCACATATGAATTCAGGGAAGCATTCCTAACAGCATCCCTAGAGACTGGCCAACTTTTGTTTTGAGGATTTTGACCAATCACTGTGTTGTCTCCAACTAAGCTCAATCAGAGTAGACCCGCTGAAATCAATGGACCCAAGTTAATCATACCCTTTGATAACCTTTATACTTCAGATGGAAATGGATGTGTAATGCTAATGTATGAAACCTACTTCTGGGATTTTATAAAGCATCTTAACTACCACCCTTAATAAAGTACTGAGCACTTAATAAAGTACTGAGCACTGGCTCCACTGAGGCCGCCATGCTGGCTTTCCCTGGAGAAACCAACATATCAGAAAGTACCTTTAAGTATTGACCTCACATTACATTTCAGCAGAAAAAGCTAGACGGTAAAGAGCGTGTCCTTTCTTGGTTGTTGTTGTTTTTTAAATAAGCATAACAAATATGTGCTATAGTTGGACTTTCTCATCCTTTCGAGAAATATGGGCACTTGCCTGTTTCTGGAATGGGCTTAAAATATATGCTACAATATGTTGTTATTTTTTTCTACAGGGCAATAAGTACTCTTCAGTGGCAAAGGAAAACACTGATTAAGTGGCAATGATGAGCGTTATCAGTGGGGGGGAAGGAGGAAATCATAGGATCAAATGATGGAAGACGGCTGCTCTCTTATCCTCTTCTTTCAACCCAAATCCTTTCAAATTATTTCTTTAGGGGAAGCACTGCTCTCACTGGGAACGTGTTTTCTTCCTAGTGCTGAGGAATAATTTATCATTTCAGAGGATCCTTTCATAAAATTATTCTGAAAATTAAATGCCTTTCTAAAGTCTCTGCATCTTCTGCAACTGGAGGTGGAGGCGGCTTGACGGCGATTTCTACCACTTCTTCATCTTCTGCAGTTTGGTAATTATTCCAGAAAATGGTTTGTTTAATGTCACTCTTCATTTTCTATAATTCACTGACTGAAAGCAAAACACAGCTAAGAGGCTAGAAGGGCATTTGTACCAGTGTGATGATTCAAAGCCCGATCAATAAATAATTGCACTTAAAAGATTAACCCAATCTCGTCCAATCTTTTCCCTAGTTAAGTAGCTAAAAATACATTCAGAAAAGGGTTCCCGCAGATCTTTACCTCTTTCTGGTTTACCAATACCAGACAGGGCAACAATGGATAATGTTACATGGGTGCTTTCAAAAATTATGGCTCACTGGAACATTGATTTTTCCCTGGGTCTTAACTGCAGGAGGCAGACACTGAATATTGATAGCGCAGATACTGCTATCCCTAGGGCATTTTTTTCTAGCAGAGAAGAAGGCGCAGTGGGCTTCATCCAATGCCCATTGAAGACAGTGGAAACGTTTCCATGGCCTTAAAAAGACAGAGGATAGATGCAATAGCGTGTGGCCATTTCTGAGGTAGTATTTGTGACACACGGCTCAACTCAAATTAGTTTCATGGGGGTATACCAACGACAGCAGGACAGCAGAGTTGATTTTTATTTTTAAAATGGAACTTCAAGAAGGTCTGGAAAACTAGGAACTGTGTTCTTAGACATAGGAAACCACTTGGGTGCACATTCAGTTTCATTTCACACACAAAAAAACCTACAGGGAAACGTCGCTTTGCGGTTACTTCCACACATTGACAAATAGATTTGAAAATCATACCTCAGGTAGGAACCAATAAAGAGCCAAAAGATTAGAAGGTACACCAAAGGCCACTGAGGCTACAATCCTGAGGGTAAGTGCCATTAAATTCAATAGGATTCACTTCTGAATAGGACTGAGCCACTAGTCCACAAAGTTTACAAATCTTGACTAGTGGAATCTATTCATGAATGTGTTTCACTTAGTTCACCTGCTTTTGCTGAATGTTGGACAATTCATGGAACCTCCAGCATTAAGAGCAGTGTGTCGTTGAATACCACTTTCTGGGCAGACAGCGGGAAGCTCATTTCATTTCATTTCATTTCTTAGACTCATGATAGAAGCCTGCTTTTAAAAAAAAGCTAAACTATGTTTGCCCCCCCACACATACACACATATTATGCAGGACTTTTGAGAGCTATGGAATTCATGCTGTGAAAGGTAGATATTACAGATCTAGAAACGAAGGAAAAAGGAGAGAGATTGCTCATCAGCTATGCCTCTAACTTGGCTAGTGTTGTGGAGGGTGGGGTGATTAAAAAATAAATAAATAAATCCTCCTGTCAGACTGGGAATATCCCCCTCACTCACCCAGTTTAGAATATTCCATCATTTTTCATCAGAGTTTCGTTTTATTTCAGCAAAGTAAGCGGCTCACAACTACGTCAAACAAAGCTATAATAATAATAATAATAATAATAATAATAATCGTCGTAACACAATAGCCAACTATCTGTGAGAAACTAAAACAACATCATGAGGCAAGAATAACCATTGGCCTCTCTAGGAAATTAACTGAATGCCCGAAGGGAGGGGCCGACTCCAGAGCACAGCGCCAAAGCCCCGCCCACCAGATGCCAGACATTCTACTATTCAAACTAGGCCCCGGTGTCCTTCTTACAGCTAGAGCACCCTAAGGCTGGATCTAGACACACCAAAGAAGCGGTTCAGTTAAACGCATTGTAAACTTCTTTTTAAATAAAAATAATAATAATTTTATTAGCTTTCAATTACAATCCAATAATAGCCTCATTATAACAATACCAATTTATAATACAGTTATTAACACCCATCGTTCAAATACCGAAGTATATAATTGAAACAAAGTGCCCCCCGAATGCTAGATTTGATGGTTTAATTATTTGCTTTATTTCTGCGTTCCAAGATTAATTAATTTCCATTACATTCAAGTCATAATAATAATCCCTTATACAACAACTGCAATATTAATAACTTCTATTTGTGTTGACACATTAAATGATTTATAAAACTACAAGTGAGGAACTCAAACTATAGCGTTATAAACTTCATACAGGGAAATCCCGTTGGCGAAAAACGGGACTCCACAGCGCCATCTAGTCTCACAGTGCTATAACGCAAATAAAGCACTTTATCTTTGCGAATGTAGCCGAGTCCTAAACTGTGTGTTTCTTCTTTGCAGTTTCCTGCACAATGATCAAACCCATATTCCTTTCAAGACTGCAGGTCTACGCAGGTTAAGGTACAACACGTTTTGCAAATGAGTTGCAAAGGCATTATTCACTATGCAACCTGTGGTAGCTTTTCTATACAGCCTGAGTTTTAAAAGCATGTCTCACTGGGTCAGATTACAGCTCCTATGGGCAACCTGTGTTCAAGTGCATCTCCCATCATCCCTAACCACTGGCCATGCTGGTTGGGGCTGATGGGACGTGGAGGCCAACAACATCTAAGGGCCACAGGTTTCCCCTCCTGTAGCCATTATTCTCTCCCCAAGAGTGGGAGCCCCAGACGGGATGCTGTATCTATGCCCCTATTGTGAGCTCAAAGCACCCTATAACTAAAAGTCCAGTCCCTCTCATAACAGAGACTCAGTATGGCTCTTTGTGGCTAATATCTAATGATAAACCTATCATCCATGAACGGTGTCATTTTTATAGGTCACCTTGAGAAGCCCAGAACTGCTGTACTATATCAAACCTGATCTTGCAAAAGATTAGCTTTACATGAGATAAGGTGCACGTTAACCAAGATTAGCTCTTACAAAGGAAGCAGGACAAATCTGCTATCTAGC